GTTAGCAAATTATCACAGATTGGTTTGTTACAGAAAATGCTGCTCATGTTACCAAGGTATTTCTCACCTTGCCAATATACTTAGTGGCTGTTGTGACAATTCCTCAAGCACTTTGTGCTCTTCAATCTTCCCATTATTGTTTTAATTCCTAATTATAACTTTTTTTTTCTCAAGTGGAGGATGAATATTGATCCTGCACCTGGTTAAAATTAGCTGGGGTTTGAGCTGTCAGAGCTTTTCAGGGAAGCAGTTTGGTCTGGTTCTTGCTTGGATAGGAGAACTGAGGACTGAAGTGTGGCATTTCATGTCCCCACAAGCCCTGGCTGATGCATATGCAGCAGTAAGATGCCATAGGAGGTGGTTCTTAACATCTGGAAGCAGCTGGAGGTTGATGCAGAGCTGTGATGTGCTTGGTCTGCCTGAGGGCATCGTTCTTGCATCTCAGGCCTGTGATCTGCCTTGGCCAGTCTCTCCAGCTGCTCCTGTCTTTGGGTTTCCATGTGAAGATGAGTTTGTGAAGATGAGTTTGAGGGATGGAGTGTTCAGTGGTTGAGGAGCAGGCAGGGTGGTTGCATCCAGGAGGCAGTGGTCCATAGCTTGGTGTCCAGATGAAGATGGGTAACATGTGGTGTCCCTCAGGGGACTTGTACTGGGACCAGAGCTGCTTAATATCTTCATCAAGGACATGGACAGTGGGACCAAGGGCACCATCAGCAAATCTGCAGATGACACCAAGCTGAGGGATGTGGTTGACATGCCTGAGTGAGGAGGTGTCATCCAGAGGGACCTGGGCAAGCACTTCCACACCACTGTGGTGAGACCCCCCTGCAGGGCTGGGTCAAGCCTCAAAGACCTTAAAGACCATCAGGTTCCAACCCCCCTGCCATGAACAGGGACACCTCCCACCTCCTGCACATCCTGCTCTGCATTGATATTGGGTTTTTCAGTGATGTCCAGTGACAGGACAAGGGGCAGTGGGTGCAAACTGGAGCACAGGAGGTTCCATGTGAATCTCAGGAAGAACTTCTTTGCTGTGAGAGTGACAGAGCCCTGGGCCAGGCTGCCCAGAGAGGCTGTGGAGTCTCCTTCTCTGGAGACATTCAAACCCCCCTGGACACATTCTTGTGTGATATGCTCTGGGTGATCTTGCTCTGACAGGATCAGATCCCACAGGCTGCACAAGCCCCATCCAACCTGCCCTTCAACACCTCCAGGGATGGGGCAGCCACTGCCTCCCTGGGCAACCTGTTCCAGTGCCTTCCTGCCCTCATGGGGAAGAATTTCTTCCTGATGTCTGACCTGAATCTCCCCTCTTTCAGTTTCAAACCATCACCATCTCAATAAAATACATTGAGAGGGTGAGGCAAGAAAGCCTGTGAAGTTCTTAAATGTGAGAATATTGTCAGACTAAAGCTGTTTATCTCGGAGTATGGAAGCTCTTTTGGGGGTTTTAAATGAGTCCAGCAATGTGTCTTGGGGAGATAATAGTGCTGAGACCTGCTAAGAACATTTAGAAGGTCTACCCCAGGAGAGAGTTAGACTCTTGAGCAGAAATACCTGAATAGAGGGTTATCTAAAGCTAACACCTGGTGGTTTTCACCCTCCTGCAGGTCACCTGCCTTGATATTTCCAGTGGTGGAGGGCTTGGGGTGTCCACCAGCACAGATGGGACCATGAAAATCTGGCAAGCTGCCAATGGAGAAATAAGGGTAAGAGCATCTTGCTTTGATGTTGTGTTGAGGTTTGTGACATGCCTGAAGTCACCCAGCTGTGACTTTGGTCAAGGTGCCACACGGTGGTTTTAGGGTGGGCAAGAGTTTAGCTTTTTGAATGAAAAGCTCATTTCAATTTGCCATCTCAGAGGTTTTGAAGTCACATCTGCTGGAAAGGGTGACCTCTCTCAGGGGAAGTGATGCTCAGCAATCTGGAGAGGAGCCCCAGGCTCAAAATGAGAATGGGGACATAGAGGTGACAGCTGAAATGAACTGACAGCTCCTCCCCTGTGCCCTGCGAGCACTGAGCTGCTTCTGCAGGAGAGATGAGGGAAAAACTCTTGGCTGTGATGGATTCACCACATCACAACCAGCTGCCTTCCCTCTTAAGGTGTCTCTCGTGGAGCTTGACCTCTCAGCTGCTTCTTTGGCAGAGGAGAAAAACATTTAACCTGAATTGTGACATCCTTTGCTGTATAATTAGCACCTCAAGTGTCAGAGGGAGGCCCAAAATGTCCCTGGTTGCTCCTTGACTGGAATTCAGTCCAGGCCCATTGCAGGAGCACAAACCCAGGGGACTTGAGCTTAACCCTCTGCCCACATGGGAACACCAAGTTTTCCAGTGTCACAGCTCAACAATTGCTGGGTGTAAGGGTCATAACCATGGAACTAGCACCTAGTTCTTTGTTTTTCCAGAGGCTGTTGGAAGGCCATGTGTATGATGTCAATTGTTGCAGGTTTTTCCCATCTGGCCTCGTGGTTCTGAGTGGGGGAATGGATGCCCAGCTAAAGGTCTGGTCAGCAGAAGATGCCAGCTGTGTAGTAACATTTAAAGGTCACAAAGGAGGTACAGAGTATTTAGCCTTTACAATGCTTGATCTGCCATGTGTATAAGTAATTGTGTTGCACCTCAGGGCTAACATTCAGTCACCAGTCCCCTGCACGTCCTGCTTTGCATTGGTATTGGGTTTTTCAGTGATGTCCAGTGATAGAACAAGGGGCAGTGGGTGCAAACTGGAGCCCAGGAGGTTCCATGTGAATCTCGGGAAGAACTTCTTTGCTGTGAGAGTGACAGAGGCCTGGGCCAGGCTGCCCAGAGAGGCTGTGGAGTCTCCTTCTCTGGAGACATTCCAACCCCCCTGGCCACGTTCCTGTGTGATGTGCTCTGGGTGCCCCTGCTCTGGCAGGGGGGTTGGGCTGGGTGAGCTTTCCAGGTCCCTTCCAACCCCTCAGATTCTGTGATTCTGTGATGTCTAGGGTCTCTTTTTCAAGCTCCCACAACTCAAATAAAAAGGTCACTGGTAGTTGTATTAGACAGATGAAACTGTTCCTCTCACCAACCTGTGTTTCCTTCATTAATTAATCACAGAATGTAATGTAATAAGAGGGAGGGTGCAGCCCATTAACCTGTTGTGAGGGCCAGGGGTGGAGGCAGCCTTCATTCTGCTCCTCCAGGGCAGTCCCAGCTCTCCAGAGCTTTGACTTGCATTCAGCAGCCTTGCACTGCACTGGGAATGTCTCCTGCTCACACCCAGGTCATCCTGCTCACCTTCAGTTGCTCCACATAGAATCATAGAATGGTTTGGGTTGGAAGGGACCTTAAAGATCATCAGGTTCCAACCCCCTGCCATGGGCAGGGACACCTCCCAGCAGCCCAGGCTGCTCCAAGCCCCATCCAACCTGCCCTTCAACACCCCCAGGGATCTTCTAGGTCCCTTCCAACCCAAACCAGTCTGTGATTAATAAGCCACATCCCCAAGCCCAGAACTTGATTAACTCAAAAACTTGTCTTGCACTGAACCTACCACTGTTCTCACATCATTTTTTGGTGTGGTTCCAGAATACTTTGTCCCCAGTGTCTCTTACCCAAGACATGGCAGGTGATGGAGCAGAGCTTTGGTCAGAACACACCTGGCTGACTCCAGGAGCCTCTGGAAGTGGATTCATTCAGTGCTTCTAACTCCAGCCCAAACTGCTGCAGTTTGCTTGGCTTGTTGTGTCCTTTAAGCTTCTGTTTCATGGCTGCTCCTGTTGGGAAAGTGTCAGTTCCATTTTCTAACCATCTGGCTGTTCCTTTCCAAAAAAAATCCCCGTGTCATTTTTAACATGACTCAAGATCTCACAGTGAAGTGAAGCACCCACCCAAACTGCCCTTTTGATGTTGCTGTGCCTGGAGAATGTGGACAATGCTTGTCCCCTGCAGCTTTGGGGATTGTTCAGAGCTGAACTTGGCAAGTGTTTAAGGGTGCTGGGCCAGGCTGTTTAATGTCCAGGTGAGGGGGTTGATTTTGGAGGTACAAACCCAGCAGCAGCTGCCATGTCAGCTCAGACTGAGGCAGATTATTTAATTGGTGATTAATTGGCCTTTGTGCCAGCTCCTGCTCTGGGTGGTTTGCTGGGACCTGCTGCCTTCCACACACCTGCCCTTCCCCATGGCCTGGCTCCCTGCTCCACCTTCCACCCCACACAGTTTGGCCACGTGTCCCCAGTGACACTTTGGGGACAAGGTGCCAGTTGTGTTCACTTTGGGAAATGAGGTGTTTTACCTGCTGGCTGGCTGAAGGTAACCTTTGTTTGGCTGCAGGTATTTTGGACACTGCCATTGTGGATCGGGGAAAAAATGTCCTTTCCTGCTCCAGGGATGGCACAGCCAGGCTCTGGGACTGTGGAACATCCTCCTGTCTGGGTGTCCTTGCTGACTGTGGCTCTCCTGTCAATGGCATTGCTGTGGGCACTGCTGACAACTCCCTCAACCTGGGCACACCTGAAGAAGCTCCCAGTAAGGTTCTTGCTCTTCAAATTCATCTCCACCCCCCTGTCCCAAGCTGTGTAGGTTTGTCACCAGTCATCCTGAGCAGGGGGGGTGGTGCTACGTGCCCTTCTGCCACCTGGGGAGGGGACTTAGGGCTACAGGACAGAGGACTCCAGTCCTGGGGAAGAACTGAGCCTTATCCAGCCATTTTATGGGATCTCTTTGATGACTGACTTGTCTTACTGCACCTGGTGTCTCAGGGTGGGGAGGAATGCAGTTGTAGGTTCAGCAAGGTCATGTTTTGGGACCACCAAGACTTGTTATGTACCCACTGCTGGAAGTAACAACTGTCCCTTTGTCAGGTGAACGTGAGGTTGGGACAGAAGGGAAGATCCTGCTGCTGGCTCGAGAGGACAAGAAGCTCCAAGGAGTGGGACTGCAGAGCAGGCAGCAGGTAAGGAGTCTGAGAAGGACCCACCTGGGAGAGTGCTCTGAGAAGCTGCTCTAAAATCAGCTCCAAGGTGTAATTTCCACTCATTTCCACTCCCAGCAGCTCCTGGGCTTGTATCTGCCATTCACATGGCCATGCAGAGCACTGGGCTGAGGAACTGAGCCAGGTTCAACCTAGATGGTTACCTAAGTAGGTTAACTGGTTAATGTTATCCCAGCTCCTTTCCTCAGTGAGCTTCTCCAGGTGGCACAGAAAGGGACAGAACCAGGCTGGAGGCAGGGAAGGGCTGATCTGCCCACCTATGGTCCTACACTGCAGTGTTCTCCATCCCTATTCCATGGAGGAGCAATTAAAACCTGGTGCAATAACATGATGCTTTCTCTCCTTCCTCCTGGCTTGAGGGGCAAGCTGCTCACAGATTTAACCCAGGTTTGGAGAAGACTATTTGAACAGTGACCAGTAGATGTCATTGTGAATGCACCAAGGTGTGAAGTTGCTGTTTATTCTGGCCAGTGTTTGAAGAGGGGAACCTCAGGTGGCCACCAGTCCATCTCCATCCTCTTGGCAAAGGGTGATGGAGTTGGTAGATCTCAGGTACTGAAGATCTTAGCAGGACCATCCTGGGCCTTGGGACAGGAGCTTCTGATGATGGAGCAGATTGAACTGCTTGTGCCAAGTGAAATTTGGGTGGAACAGATGAGCTCACCAAGGCTGGTTGGTGGGATGGTAGAGGCTGCCCTGGAAGAAGCTCCTGGCTTCTAATAAAGGCTGTGGCTCTGGGAGGAAGGGGGGGGCTCTGCCAGCCTGTCCTGCAGATCTGTCCTTGCTGCTCCATGGGTGTCTGAAGATGAATTTAAGCTCAGCCTTGACTTGCTGGTCACTGTGTGGCACATCTTTCCTCCAAAGGAGACCCAGCAACATTCACTGCTGGCTTTGTCTCTGCTGGCTTGGCAAGGCTGAAGCTGCAGCTGCTCTGCACGGCCTGGGGCAGAGCTGAGGGTTGTGATTGCACTGACTTCTGACTGGTGTGCCAGGGGAGGGTTAGATGGGACATTGGGAACAATTTATCCCTGGGAAGGGGGGGAGTCCCCATCCCTGGAGGGGTTTCCAAGCCCTGGAGATGGTGCTGAGGGACACGGGGCAGGGGTGGCCTGGGCAGGGCTGGGGGAACAGTGGGACTGGATGATCTTAATGGTCTTTCCCAACCAAAACAACTCCATAATTCTGTGACTTCTAAATCAATCCTTCCTTCTCCTGGATGTGTCCTCACCCCTGGGTGTGTGTCCCTTGCATTGGTCCCTGTGTCCCCAGGTGTTCCTCTTCCCCGGGTCCGACGCGTTCAACTGCTGCACGTTCCTCTCCAGCACCTACATCCTGGCTGGGACTCAGGATGGGAACATCTACCAGCTGGATGTGAGAAACACAAAGTGAGTGGATGCCTGGAGCTGCAGGTGTTGAAACCACAACTGGTGTTTTGGCTGGGGAAGAGAGGCAGGTGGAGGGTGCTGGCAGGGACTGCGTTTCCAAGCCCTGGAGATGGTGCTGAGGGACACGGGGCAGGGGTGGCCTGGGCAGGGCTGGGGGAACAGTGGGACTGGATGATCTTAATGGTCTTTCCCAACCAAAACAACTCCATAATTCTGTGACTTCTAAATCAATCCTTCCTTCTCCTGGATGTGTCCTCACCCCTGGGTGTGTGTCCCTTGCATTGGTCCCTGTGTCCCCAGGTGTTCCTCTTCCCCGGGTCCGACGCGTTCAACTGCTGCACGTTCCTCTCCAGCACCTACATCCTGGCTGGGACTCAGGATGGGAACATCTACCAGCTGGATGTGAGAAACACAAAGTGAGTGGATGCCTGGAGCTGCAGGTGTTGAAACCACAACTGGTGTTTTGGCTGGGGAAGAGAGGCAGGTGGAGGGTGCTGGCAGGGACTGCCCCTCCTGATGGGTGGACACAGCCCAAGACACAGCACCATGAGCTGCTGAGCCTCCTGAGTCTTGCTTAATGTCTCTGTCAGTGAACTGGAGGGGATTGAGGGCACCCTCAGTCAATTTGCAGATTATACTAAATTGGTTGAGAGTGTTGATCTGCCTGAGGGTAGGAAGGCTCTGCAGAGGGACCTGGACAGGCTGGATCCAGGGGCCAAGGCCAATGGGATGAGGTTCAACAAGGCCAAATGCTGGGTCCTGCACTTTGGCCACAACAACCCCAGGCAAAGCTCCAGGCTTGGGGAGGAGTGGCTGGAAAGTGCTCAGAGGAAAAGGACCTGGGGGTGCTGGTCAACTGTGGCTGGAGATGAGCCAGTGTGTGCCCAGGTGGCCAAGAAGACCACCAGCATCCTGGCCTGCATCAGGAGTAGTGTGACCAGCAGGACCAGGGAGGTGATCACAGCCCTGGGCACGATCTTATGATCACCAGAACTGGGCAGTGATGAAGCTGCACCTCAAGTCTTGTGTTCATTTCTGAGCCCCTGACTACAAGAAGGACATTGAGGTGTTGGAGCAAGTTCAGAGAAGGGCAACCAAGGGGGGATCTCAGCAGAGCAGAGGGGCAGAATCTCCTCCCTGAGCTGCTGGCCACACTTCTGATGCAGCCCAGGACACAGTGGGATTTCTGGGCTCACACATCAGAATGGACTCTTGGCTACAGCCCATCCTCCCACACTGGTTTGGGTTGGAAGGGACCTTCAAGATCATCCAGTCCCACTCCTGCCATGGGCAGGGACACCTCCCAGCAGCCCAGGCTGCTCCAAGCCCCATCCAACCTGCCCTTCAACACTGCCAGGGATGGGGCAGCCACAGCTTCCCTGAACAAATCCCACTCCTGCCTTGTTTCTGCTCCTTTTCCCAGCACTCCCATCCAGACCATCCACAGATCAGGAGCTCCAGTGCTTTCCCTGCTCCCCTACCGAGATGGATTTGTTGCCAGCCAAGGTAACTCCAGTACCACGTTGTGCCACTAGAAATTGTGGCATCATATCCAGGAGTTTTGTGCTTTTG